TGCGATGATGGGCTCAAGTATAGCAGGGATTGTGGGGCTGGTGTGGGATCGGGCAGTGTTTCGTTCTGCTGTGCATGGGGTCGCTATGAGTTGGAAACTACTCGACGGCACTTAACAACAACAACAAATACAATTCTTTGAATTCCTTACCAGAGAGTTCCAATGCTGCTTCTTCCTCAGGGATGTGTTCTGGGTCTGTATCGTGTTCCCTTGTTTCTACCACTTTATCTTGCTTTTTTGTGTGAACTGTGATGGTCTGTTGTCTCCGAGGCATTGTGGATTGTATTAAGATCTCTGTTAATTGTTTGTGAAGAGCAGCCAAGGTTGATTCTGGCTCTTCTTGGTGGTCTTTTATCATTGGCCTGTTGGTGGAGAAGGTGGTGCTGGCTCTTGCTCAGTAAGTGAAGTTGTAGGAGGTGTGGGTGTACTTTATCTTATGGGGACTGTTGTTGTCTCCCACTCAGTTAGACAAAAATTACAATTGAATAACCATCAAAAAAGTAAAAGTACATGGACAAAATATCCACCATGCAATCACACAGGAATAGTAACCCACCCCCCCCAAAAAAAAAGAGGAGAAAAGAAGTAAACCTGCAATATCTGGGGATAGGGCACTAAGAGAGAAAAAGTAGAGAAGGAGAATAATGAAGAAAAAAAAATGGGGAAAATGAAAAAAAAAAAAAAAAAAAAAAAAATGGGCACGGGGGGGGGGGAGGAAGAGGGATAGACCCCAAGATCTGCAGACAGACTTGGGTTCGCATCTTTCTCCGGACAAATTCCTTCTGCTTAGTCTATCTCTACAAGGCTCTTCTCTACAACAGGGAGAATATGGTCTACTTCAGAGGGTGACTGGGGACTCAATAGAGGCCCAACACTCTATAGATGTAAACTCTGGTTATAACGGTTCTGGCTACTGCAGAGCATTTTGGTTATTTACAGTAAGGTTTCTCACTGCATTATTCATTTAACCCCCACACAAATACAGAAGTGGACATGTAACCCAGCAGTTAAGGGTTGGGCTTGTGGTAGGTCTGCCTGTGTCTGATGCCCAGCTCCCAGTTTGTCAGCTATCTGATCTGGGCAGATTACTTCCTCACTCTGTGTCTCAGTTTTCTCATCAGTCAAATGAAAATAATAATAGGAACCATCTCAGAGGTTTGGAGTGAGGATTAAATAAATTACGATGAAGTACTTTGAATAGCTTCTGGTAAATGCTCAACACATGTTAGCTTTATCATCACTATCATGATCATGGGTGGGGCCCCAAAACCCAATTGGCTTTGAGTGAATTCTGACTCATAGCCACCCAACAGGACAGAGTAGAACTTCCCCATAGGATTGCCAAGGCTGCAAATCTTTATGAAAGGATATTATCTCATTTTTCTCCCACAGAGTGGCTGGTGGGTTTGAACCACACACCTTATGGTTAGCAGCCCAATGCTTTAACAACTGTGCTACCAGATCTCCTTATGGGTGGACAGGGATTATTAATGCACATTTTGCAGAGGGTCATGCCAAAGCCCAGAGATAGCCAGTCCTGTAATCTAGGCCACATAGCCAGGAAGCTATTGAGCTTGCAAATGACCTGCTAAGCCCAGACCAGGACCCATGGGGACATGAGCACCTTGATTTCTATGATATGGCCCCTGAAGGAACCAGCCTGTCTCTTAGGCCTGCACATTGGGTGCCCAGGATGGTGCTCTCCCTGGAGGTCTTAGGATACCAGAGTTTATTGAGCAATTACTCTCTCTAGGCACCATGCAAAGAGCTGAGCCTGAATTATTCATTTAATCCTCTCCATGACCAGTGAATTAGCACTATCATTATCCCAGTGTTATATACAAGGAAACTGAAGCCCAGAGAAGTCTAGTGACTTTCCCAAAGTCACTCAGCTAGTTATGGGCCAGGATTTGAACCCAGGCCCTCTTATTCCAGACTCTGTGCATGGCCACAAGGCTTTCCTGGATACACTAATGAATGTAGCATGGTGTAGTGGTCCTCAACTGGAGTGGACATCAGCATCACCTGCAGGGCCTGTTAAAACACTGATTGCTGGGCCCCACTCCCAGATTTTTGACTGGGCAGGGCTGGAGTGGGGCCTAAGAATGTGCATTTCTAACCAGTTCCCAGGCAATGGTGATGTTATGCTGCTGGCCCCGAGTCCACATTGAGAACCATTGGCTCAGTAAAATGAATGAGGAAGCTGGAGTGAGGAGCCCTGCCTGGGTAGAAGTCAAAGCTCTGACATTTTCCAGCTTGGTGACCTTGGGCCATTCACTATCCAAGCCTCTGTCTCTTCATCTATGAAATGGGGATAATAACGATAACTTACCTTGAAGGGCAATGGTGCAGATCAAATGAAGTAACAACCTGGAAGCACCTAGCTGGGGCCTGGAGTTAGTGAGTGGGTCCTCATGTTCTCTCCTTCTGTCTCTTTGGGGATCTTAAGGCTGTCTCTCTTACTGATTTGCTCTGTGCCTTCAGGCAAGTCGCTTCCCCACCCTGGGCCTCAGTTTCCCCAACTGTAAAACAAAGCAGTTAAACTAGATGGTCTCTGAGATCCCATGGGGCGGGCATCCTGAGAATGCAGGCACCCAGGTGACCTTGGCTTGCCCATGGTGCCCTGAGCAAGTCTCCGGAGGCTGAAAGCCTGAGGGACTGCCTTCCCCTCCCACCCCCAGAGCCATGGTGCGCTACTGTTGCCAGGAGTTGTGCCGTATCCTCTATCTGCTCATTCCACTCCTGGAGCGAGGCGACGAGAAGCACAAGATCACCGCCACCGCCTTCTTCGTGGAGGTACTCACTGAGGTTCCAGGCATGGAGTGGGGAGCTCGCTATGGGCCTTGCCCTCAGCACAGGCCTCAGTTCTGTCACTGTCATTTCTCCTGTGTGAACAGTTGACAAAGCATTCCCAGGAACATGATTTCTCTTGCATACAAAGACCCTGTAGGTGTCTCTCTCTCTCTCCTCCTTTTGACATCTTCTCTTCTCTCCACCCCTTCATCCCATTCCACTCTTCCCAGACCCCCTAGTATCCCATGCAACAGCCAACCTTTACTGGCATCAGAGATACAAATAAGAATTTGACCCTGCCCTGTCCTTAAGGAATTCTCAGTGTGGTAGGGGAGATAGAGGACACCCCAATCACAACCTGGAGTGCTATTGTATAATGATGGGAGAAGTCTAGGCTGTGTGTGTGTGTGTGGCAGGGGGAGGTGGAGAAGACGGGACTGAGAATGTCATCAAGGAGGACTTCCTGGAGGAAGTGACATCTAAACTGAGTATGTGAGTGGAGGGCGCAAGGGCTAGGAAAAGATGTGCATCATGATAAGAGATGAGTCAGGAAAAGTTGGTAGGGTCAGACCAGAAGGGGTGAGTGCACAACAATAACAGGAAATGTTAATTGAACACTGATTATCTTCCAGGCATGCTCTAACAGCTTTGTACATTCTGGTTTATTTAATCCTCATAATAGTCCTATGAGGTAGGTACTGCTATACGCCCTGTTTTCCAGAGAAGGAAGTTGAGGCACAGATTCAAGTAACTTTCCCACAATCATGCAGCTAGTAAGCGACAGATCCAGGATTCAAACACAGACAGTTGGGCTCTAAAACTTTCTCTCCTAACTACCTGCATCTTGGGACCTGATGATCATAATGTGGGAGGATCCAGGTTATCCCCAGAGACTCAGAGGCAGGAGACTAACTGCCTGCTTGAAAGGTAGTGAGGTTAAGGAAGATTTTCTGGAGGAAGTGACGTTTAAGCTTGTCAGGTAAGCCAAGTTTGCTAGATGGACAGGAGGTAATACTGTACCTCTTCTGCCTCTCCAGCTGGATTGTGAGTCTGGAACACAGGGACCATGACATGTTTGTGTTACATCCGCAGGCCCAGTAGTGGCCTGACCCAGAGAAGGCCCCAGGCCATGAGAACTGATTGGATGAGTGAGTGCCTGAGTGAACACTTTGCTTGGTTCTGCAGAGACCGGCAGAAGGTGCCACGTCCAGAGAGGATATGCCTGGGTCTTTGGGCCTGGGGTCGTAGGTTCCAGCCCTAGCTTTGTCCCTGTTCTACTACTGATTTCTCTTATGACCCTGTGAAGGAGAGGGAAAGGACAATTTCTTGAAGGCCTACTATCTGCCAAATACTACGCTGACCTCTTTCATATGATACCCCCGTAATCAGGAGCTCTGGTGGCATAGTGCCTAAGGCATTTGACTGCTAACCAGAAGGCTGGAGGTTCAAACCTACCAGCCACTACTTGGAAGGAAGATTGGACAATCTACTTCCGTAGTAATACAGCCTGAGAAACCCAAGGAGGGGTCGTTATGAGTCAGATCCAACTTGACGGCAGTGAATTAATCTGTACAGCATCTCTGCAAAGAAACAATTATGAAGCTCATGTTTAGGTGAATTTAGGTTTCTTTGAAGGTCACACAGCTCATGGAGTCCAGAGATCACAGATTCTCCCTGACTCGCTCCTCTATCCCAGTCAGCTCTTAGGAGAGGCACTTCTCTCAAAGTCCGTTAAAGGGGGAGAGTGTGGACCTAGCCAGACCTGAAGGGATGCTTCCTCTGTCTTGCAGAAGGTCAGGGGTCCTGTGCCTAACTTTCCCCAGCACCTTCCTATAGCCTTGAGCAGTGGCCTTCCCTCTCATGGCAAGAGTCCTCACCCAGGCTCAGTCCCACATTCCCAGAAGAGGTAGCCTACTCTAGTCTCAGCCAAGCCCACCCATTTGCGGTGGCACTTTGACATAGTTCTCATGTCTCTCCCAGGTTCCCCTTAGTCCTCATGCAGTGATTGTGTGTGTATGTGTGTGTGTGTGCCCGTGCCTGCTTTTCCCAGTGGTGAGTGACCTCTCAACAGAGCTGTGTGAGCTTGGGCAAGTCACTTAACCTGTCTGTGCTTCAGTTGCCTCACCAGTAATATGGGTATAATGAATTGCCTCAGACCTCAGATGGTTTGTTATTTAAGTTTGATTTATTTTGTTTTTGTTGTTGAGAATATACACAGCAAAACACATACCAATTCTGAACATTTACACGAGGTAGATATACTCCTTGGTGAGAACAATCATGGGAGAAAGAAGGGCTGCTTATACACAGGGAGACAGCTCAGGGGGCAGGAGTGCATGGAGGGATAGACACAGGGAAGAGGTAACCATCAGTAGGAAGTGGGAGGGGAGCTGTTGCATTGTGGTAAATTGTAGTCAATGTTATGAGACAAAGTGTATGTAAACTGCTGTATGGAAAGTGAATTTGCTCTGTAAACTTTCACCCAAATCACAATGAAAAATAAAATAAAATAAAAACACACCGACAGTTTCTCCATGTACAATTCAGTGACATTGGTAACATTCTGTAAGTTGTGACACCATTCTCATCCTTCTGACTTGTTCCTCTTCCATAAACAGAAACTCACTGCCTACCAAGGTTTCTATCTAATCTTTTGAGTCACTGTTGTGAATCTGATTCCATATAGATAGTTCTTAGAAGAGTATAATGCTCAAGGCAGACATTTTTTACATCAAAACCATGACCTCATGGTTTTGATGAAGATTGAATGAGTTCATGTAAAGCACTTAGAACAATGCTGGCACATAGAAGGCACTATACTATACACTCACAGACACACACACACATATATATATGGAGCTCTAGTGGCATAGCACCTGAGGCACTTGACTGCTAACTAGAAGGTTGGCAGTTGAAACCCACCAGCCACTCCTCAGAAGGAACATTGGGCACTCTACCTTCATAGTGATACCGCCTCCGAAACCCAAGGAGGGATTGCTATGAGTCAGAGACAACTCGACGGCACATAACAACAAATTCATATAATATGTATAGGAAGTACAGCTATATTGCTATTATTACTCATTTCTGTGTCTCGTGTTTAGCCCAGAGCCCAGTGCAGAGAAGACCTGAGCAGCAGTTGTGTCCATGGTGGTGGTGGGGGGGGATATAGGGTAACTGGGGAAGGTGGAGCCCCTCCTTTCCTGCCTCCTCAGAGAACTCCCTGCTCCTCAACTGTCCTCCCCTCTCCTCTAGCTCTCCTCACCCTCAGCTCTTTCTTCTCATCATGCAGACACACCGTTGCAATGTCCCGATAGTGGTGGCAGCTGTAAAGGGAGGGCATAGGAGAACTGTTTATGAGGATGAGTCAGCAGGAAGTGAAGGCTAGTTGACTGCTGTGGGTGAGGAGGGTGGAGAGGAAAGAGGAGATGGGGGTGATGCCTGATCTGTGGCTTGGACAATGTGGGGGTGGTGCTAACACTGCAATGGGGGAACCCAGGAGGAAGGACAATTCTAAGGAGGAAAGGAATCGACTTTCATGTTGGGGCTTAACGCATGACACAAATGTTCCCGAAGCACATACTCCACACCAGACCTCGTGTTAGGTACCAGAAATCCAAGGATGAACAACTTGGTTTTTGTCCTCATGGAAGCCCCCAATTTGGCAGGGGACGCAGATATGAATGCAGATGGGGGCACTAAAGGTTTCCAGATGCTGTCTTGGGGATGTTCAGGACTCCCAGAGACCAAAAGAAGGGGCAATCAGCCTGGGAGGTGAGGGTAAGACAGACAAAGGGTTAATATCAAGCAAAGCTTCAAGGGGGAGCTGAGCTTTATATGGAGCCATGCAAGGTAGGTTGGGGGTCAGCATGGAGGTGGGCATCCCTGCAAACAGGCATCCTACCAGCAAAGAAGTGACAAAATAGTCTGGATCATTCAGGAAACGGTGGGCAGCTTGAGTGGAAGCTGGCTGACTAGTGGTAAGAGTGTGGGCTACGTGGTGGGCACAGAGTGAATGAGACCACAGAAGCAAGCCGGGGCCAGATGGCAGAGGCAATCGGGAGCCACAGAGTTTCAAAGGGGAGAGCAGTATGCTCAGCTTTGCCATGAGATGCCTGATGGACATCCAGTGGATTTGTCAAGTGAACTGTTGGTTCTCCAGGTCTGAAGCTCCAAGCAGAGGCTGAGGGGGAGATAGAACTGTGGGGATTATTTGCCTATTGAAAAAACAAATCTGTTGCTGTTGGGTTGATTCTGGCTCATGGCTACCTCATATGTGACAAGAGAACTGCTCCACAGGGCTTTCTTGGCTGTAATCTTTACAGAAGCAGATCGTCAGAAGCTTGCACTGGGCAATGCTGATCCACACAGCAGTCCTTCATTCATGTGCAGTACCTGGGTTCCTGGTTGTTCTGTGTGTACTAGCTCCCCCTGGGGAGACTAGTGGGCCACCCTTGCCCCTTGGCCCCATGAATAATTATCCGTTTGCTCCCTCAGCTCCTCCAGATGGAGCAGGTGCGGCGGATCCCCGAGGAGTACTCTCTGGGGCGGATGGCAGAAGGCCTGAGCCACCGTGACCCCATCATGAAGGTGCTGTCCATCCGTGGTCTAGTCATCCTGGCCCACAAGACTGAGAAGGTGAGCATGGGTGGAGGAGAGCCTGAAGGAAGGATGGAGCTTGGCCATCATAGTCTCTTAGATGCTGGTGGCCAGAAGCAGAATGTTATTTCTGTCCCAGGCTTGACTGTCCCGTGTATAAAATGGATGTTCTTGTTGTTGTTAGTTGCTTTTGAGTCAATTCTGACTCATGATGACCCCACGTCTGCAGAGTAGAACTGCACTCCATAGGATTTTCAGGGCTGTGACCTTTTGGGAGCAGATTGCTGGGCCTTTTTTCCTAGGCATTTCTGGGTGGGTTTATACTGTCAGCCTTTCAGCTAGTAGTCCAGCACTTAGTCATTTGCACCACCCAGGAACTATTCCTTAACAATCCCCTATGTATACTTTATTCTTTTTGAAATAGTTCCTAACGTAGTTTTTCAGTACGAGGCACAGGATGAGGGGCAGAGGTGGCAGTAATTATTCCCATTTTACAGATTAGGAAACTAAGGTCCAGATAGTTGGTGCATCATCAGCATTTAAAAAACAGCTTTGTAAACCACTCAGGAAAGATTAAATCTGGAGATCCTGGATAGAATGAGAGGAAAAACATGGAACAAAATAAAAAAACTCAATAATGTCCAGAATTACTGATCAGAGGAAGTCTGATGAGACCCCCAATACTATGGCCCTGGAATACATTCTGCACCTGGAAAAAAACTCACCCCAAGGGACTGGCTCTCAGCCCAATAGTTAACAAGATGTACATGCAGACCACGCAACCCAGGATGATGCACCCACATGCTCTATAGTAATACATCCCTTAGAACAATGGACCACGGGGCACCAGAGGACCAACATTCAGTTTGAGGAAATGCAGGACAAACAGGAGTGCATAAATATGAGGGGCACACAGACGGTTTCACTGGAGAATTCTATAAAACATTCAGAGAAGAAGTGATACCGATCCTACTCAAAGTATTCCAAAACATAGAAAAGGAT